TTTTCAAAGTAGGTATTAATGATCTTCTGAATTTCTGTGGAATCTGTAGTAATTTCATCCTTTTCATTCTTTGTTGCATGAATTTGAGTTCTTTCTATTTTCAAAAGGTTGGCTAGGGGTTTATCAATTTTATTTATTCTTTCAAAGAAGCAACTCTTTGATTCATTTCTTTTTTGTAGGGTTTTCTTCATCTCAATTGTATTAACTTCTGCCCTGATCTTTATAGTCTCCTCCCTTCTTTTGGCTTTGGGCTTGACTTGTTCTTCTTTTTATAACAGTTTGAGATGCAGCATTAGGCTATTTGTTTGTTCTCTTTCTGTATTTCTTATGTGTGAGTTCACCGCTATACATTTTCCTCTGGGAACTGCTTTCATTGCATCCCACAGAATCCAGTAAGATGTATTTACATTTTCATTTGTTTGTAGGTATTTTTTAATTTCTTCTTTAATTTTGTCTGTGATCCAATGGTTGTGCAGGAGGCTGTTGTTCAATTTTCAAGTGTTTATGGAGTTTTTGGAGTTCCTTTCATCATTAATTTCCAATTTCATTGCACTGTGGTCAGATTATATGCATGGGATAATTTCAATGCTTTTTCATTTAGGTAGGCATGCTCTAGGAGATACAGTATGGTCTTTTTAAGAGAAATTCCCATGTGCAGCTGAGAAAAATGTGCATTCTGATGTGGTGGGGTGGAACACTCTGTATACAGCTGCTAAGTCCATTCGTTCTGAGCTTTGGTTCAGATCTGTTCTTTGCTGATTTTTTGTCACGTTGACCTATCTCTTTGTGTCAAAGAGGTGTTGAGGTCCCTTATTACAATAGTGTTATTAATTATATGGGTTTTCATGTCTGTTAAGATTTGTCTTATATAGTTTGGTGCTCTGATATTTGGTGCATACATGTTTATGATTGTTACCTCATCCTCTTGCAATTTAACCTAACAAGTATGTATTGATCTTCTTTATCTCTTTTGATTGTTCTCAGTTTGATGTTTACATTGTCTGCAAACAGAATAGCTACAGCTGCTTTCTTCTGGGTTCCTGTTGCATGGAGGAGCATTTTCCATCCTTTGCCTTTCAGTGTATGGATTTCCTTTTGAGCAAAATGTTTTTCCTATATACAGCATATCATTGGATTTTGTTTCTTAATCCACTCTGCCAGTGTGTTTCTTTTGACTGGTGAACTGAGGCCATTTACAATTATGGTGATAACGAATATGTGTTAACTTATCATAGTCATATTATTTACTTGCTGTTGGTTTCCTATTTTTCTTACCTGTTTAATTGCTTGTTCTTCTTGATGGTTCCTATCTTTTGTTGTTCTTGAAATTGTGATCATGTTTTTCTCTGTCCAGAATATCTTTTAGTACTCTTTGCAATGATGGTTTGGCACTCATGAAGTTCTTCAGTTCTTGTTTGTCTTAGAAATACTTTATTTCTCCATTGAATTTGAAGGATAATTTGGCAGGGTACATCAGTCTTGGTTGGAAGCTGTTTTGTCTCAGGACCTGTAATACTTCCCTCCAAGCACATCTCAGTTCCATGGTTTGTGTTGAGAAGTCTGCAGTGATTCTGATAGGCTTTTCTCTATAGGTAATCTGTTTTTCTCTAGCAGCTCTGTTTCTTTTGCTGGAGACATGGGATCTTGACTATTATATGTCTGGGTGTAGTTTTATTTTGGTTGCTGTTGGATGGAGTTCTATATGCCTCATTTACTGTATATCCTGTTCTGTTTCCATACTTGGGAAAATTTCAGCTATTATTTCTGCACATATTCTTTTTATGTCAGTTGTGTTGACTCTTGCTTTTTCATTGATTTATATTAGTCATACATTATTCCTCTTTGCCTAATTTTGCAGCTGTTGAATTGATTTTTCTTGGTTCCTTTAGATTTTAAGAGATTCTTTATTTCATGATCGCTAGCTGCTATGCTACCTTCAAAATCTGAAATTCTATCCTCAGCTTCATTCAAGTGGGTTTGGCAGCTTTCAATGGAAGCTTAGAATTCCTGAAAGACTCTTCAAATCTGATTCATGTGTTCTAATTAATTTGTGTATTTTCCATTCAAAATTTCTGCCATTGCCTATGTTCTTCTACTTTCTTATATATTTCTTCTTTAAATGTGCTGAGCAGTTCTTTCATTATTATTGTCATTTCATTTTTTGCCTGAGAGATTATTTCTGATCTGATCTCTTCTATGGCCTGATGGAGTTGTTTCTTTACTTCCATTGCAAGCAATCATTTCAGCATTTTCAGGTGTGTGTTTACCAAGTTGTCTTATGTCAGTGTCTCCTGGACTTGTTCTGAGTGAGGTGGAGTTGTGAGATTGTGTTTCTGTTCTTCACCTTTTCATGTTTGATACTGGATGCAGAAAGCTCAGTCTCCTTCTTCCCTGCCAGCTCAGCAAAGACCGCTAGTGTCCCTAATTTTCCTGGTGGTCAGGCTTGTCCCCCAGTGTCTGCTGAGATGCACTGCTTAATCTGGGGCTTTCCAGCAGATGGTGCAGTGTATCTAGTTCTCCCAGGTCTCAAATGTGGATTGTGATGTCAGCTTATGGCAGTCCATCTGATCCAACATCCTCTCAGTTTAAGGTATGTGTATAACCAAGAATAGGGTTGCACTGGTAGAGCAATCCCAAACTAGTAGACCTTTTTTCCCAGGCAGTTCAGGGTACAGGCAAACCCAGACATGAATTGAAGGGTCAACAGTTTGTGGACCACCTGATTCTGTTTCTCCAGGAAGCTCAGGACATGCACAGGAGCTACATGTGGGCTGCACTTGCAGTGATCATGGACTTCCTGTGTGTATGACCTCCAGGAGGTCTGGGCACATGTAAAGCCCAGACCTGACAGCAGTGCCAGCAGCTCATGGAGCACCCATTCCAGTATCTCACTCAGCACTGGACATGTGCAGAGAGGGCCCACATGCAAACCCTGGTGAGAACAGTTCATGGGCCTTCTGAGAAAGGATTTCCTTTCTGCACTGGGCACATGGAGGGTAGAGACTCCGGTACCATAATTTCAATGAAAACTTTTTTCCTTACTTTATACAATATGTATAAGTAATGTTTATTTAGTTTTTATATTTTGTGACATGAAAATTGCGATATAGAATTGCAAAATTTGTAGTGAAGTGAATATCAACATTGCTCAATTTATTTATATTACATGACATGTGCTTTTATATAAAAATTATAAGTATTTGATTAAATAAATTGTATCAGACATTTAAAAGTTGTATCTTCTTTAGCAGTTCAATGCAGTACTAGGAACTGTGGTATCTTTCCATGTAGATAGTGCAGCTATTTATCTTCTTTAACAAAGATGACCATATGTTTACCTGTCAGGAGATAAGCATGTGTGCCACTTTAATTATTTTGAAAATTGTTTAATGTTAAAAAAAAACCACTTTTCTAGGAGATATTGCTTACCATTCCAAACAGAAAACAGTTTTGTACTTAGCCCTTTTAAAATGAGATGTGTGTATCAACAGTATTGCCACAGAAGTCACAGAATTAAATCAAAAATGCTGTAACTTCATATATTAATTTTGACAGAAGAAAACTTCTTCTGGAATTGTCATAAGAATGGGTGATTTTTTTTTCAAGAATAATAGAGTTTCTAAGCACAAAAAATGACAGTGGCAGGAAACAAAGCATAATTTCACACTGCCTGGGGCTCCTTGTCTGTGTTAAGCTTCCAATACAGCCAGCAGCAGCAGATCATATCACTTGTTGTGGAGTTACTGTCAGGCCGCAAGGAGACCACACTTGGTTTTCCACTTTGAAAAACAAGGAGGAAGCAAATATGCCCTCTCCCTGGAGCTACAGTCACCTTCTTTAAATACTTCACAGGTGGCAGGAGCAGCTGTTGATACCTACAATTGAAAAGCTGGATTTCCTGAGTTCCTTGAAAGTTAAATCTTACAATTTCATTATAACATAGTAAGGAAGAACTGAATGACTAAAGTTGAAAAAAAATCCTGCTACTTACATTACACTCCAAATATGTACAAATCTGTATTGAAAGCCCATAATATTGAATGCAGGGGTGTAATTCTTTTCATAATATCAATGTGAATTTAGTATACCCTTCAGGGAAATGGTTGTTCTTTCAATACTGTGCAAATCTTTTCATAAAATTTTCCATCGATGGGGGCTGGGGATTTAGCTCAGCGGCAAAGCGCCTGCCTGGCAAGCACAAGGTCGTGAGTTCGGTTCCCGGTACCAGAGAAAAACCAAAAAAAAAAAAAACCAAATTTTCCATCGATGTTATCTCTCATCATTATTGAAAATCAATGAAATGTATTAATACCTTTTGAAGCAAGGTGATGAATCTTTAGTTTTTAAGGTTGAAGATAGTTTTATTATTGCGATGTATGTGCAGTCATATAAAAATTCAGATGTATTGCAAAGACAAATTTCATGGAGCATATGCATCTATGATAAAGAAAATAAATCTATACTTTCAGCAGATGGCCCCATAATCTACATATCAATCCTATAATTTCCTTTGCATTTTGATGACTCATTTTACATCATAAGAAACCATTTAGTAATCTCTGATTATAACACTGTTTCTATTATAATTCTCACTTGTTTCAATCAGTCAGTTTTCTTCATCACTGCAAGTTTGGTGGGAGATGGAAATTTCTGTGGGACTAGGACTGAGGTAATCAGACGACGCTGATGAAACCATAGATTCTGACACAGGCAGCATCAAACAGATTTTTCCTTTCACACATCCTATCCACACTTTGAAGTGCAATGTAGGTCAATGAGGCACTTGTCAAATTTGAGTATTCTAATATTTTTATCTCTTTACCTTTTAGTCATTTCTTTGTTTAATCACTGAGATTTGCCAACTATTTCTTTACAGACCTTCATTGATCTTAGCATAACACATATCACTTTGAAATCCCCATAAGTAAAAGTTATTCCTTTCTCTGTATAAACATTCTTATCAGATAGTAAGACCATGTGGTCATTTTGTTTCTAGCTGATATGTGGCCTTTGAAAACTATTACTTTTCATCTGCACTCACATATAGTCAGCCAATGATATTCCATTTGCTTTGTTAACTAATTTTTCAAGTCAGCATCACTTGGCTCTATTTAAACAATTCTTTCAATTAATCCTGTATTCTTTTTTGCTAATGTTTTTCAGTTAATGTGTATAAAATTCAAACAACTAATTCTAACCTTTTTATTATTTTTTTGAGATAAATGAAGGTTCAGGTACATCATGAGAATAATAAAACATTGTCTCTTGTATCCTTTACACATTTTCCCCATCTGTGATATTTTGAACCATGGTAATCTAACATCACAACTAGAATACTAGTATTGTTGCATTCATATATTATTTTCATTAACCCAAAGGACCTTCCCATTCACCTATTTTGATCAAATCCACATTCTTTCTTGTCTTTCATCTCTTAACCCAGTCCTCAATATCAGGAAACAATTGCTCTGTTTCCTATTTATATTAATGTATCATTTCAAGATTCTCATATTAGGGGAATCATACATTAGTAATGCTATAATACTTAATTTAGTACACATAGCTTTACCCACACTGTCACTACTCTAAAATTTGAAGTGCTAGTCTTTCATTCATTATTGTGTTCCAACCTGTTTTATTTAATAGTAACTTCATTTGTACTTCAAGTTCTAGTTTTATAACATTTATTTCATTCTACATCAGTTTTCTCACTCCTGGGGTGATGATTTTCTGGATCCAGTTAGTTTTGCACATTACAGGTTATCTGTTCCAAAAGTTCTTTTTCTTTTCATCTTTTCATCTTTTCATATACATGCACAAACATGTATAATTACAGGTTTACACACACTCCTCAATAAACTTGTTAGTCCTTCACAGTTTTCTGGTCCCTTATTTCTCTACTCCACAAGACAATTCTAAGGTTTTCCTTATTCCTACTGTAGTCTCCAAATGATACTGCCTACAATTTCTTTTGGTGAAAACTGCACTCTGCATAAATATGTGCATCAAGTGGATATGTAATGTTTTTGCACATGTAAATAATTGATGACATATCTAATTTTGTGTCATACTCCACTTACCACTTCTCAAACATGCCAGTTTCTTCTTACTATATCACAGATTTTTTCACATTAGTTTTGTCTCTCCTTGAAATTACTTGTATCAGAATTATACTTTAAATATCAGACTAGTAAGTAGGCATACAATTATTCAAAGTGATTTCAAGGACAGAGAACGTTACCTGCTAGGTTAGAATTGAGTGGAACATCAATAAATAAATCAAAGATGTCAGGGAAAGGTAAAATCCTGAAGTTTATGCAGAATTGGTTACCCATGGAAGAAGAGCTAAAGCAAAATCTCAGGCATGATTATTAATAATATCTAACCAAATCTTTCAAGTATTCTAAACCCATCTGTAAGACCATTGAACCAGCAAGACCACCTGACTACTTTTACGTCCTTAGAATTAGAACTTGGATTACTCTTAACATACGAAAACAGGAAGAAAATATAATACATATGCTGACAGAAAATAAAAAGATTGCTTTATCCCAATAATAGGTACATTTTTATTGAAAGTTTTCATGTAAGATTCCAGCCTACATGAATTTGTCAACTAATTCAAACCACTGTATTTTAAAATGTATGCATGTGCTCATATAGATGTATGGATGTGTGAAATATATATATCTCTATATATTTACATATGTTTTTGACATATTTTACTAGTATTTGTACCTTTCCCTTATATTCTTAGAACACTTAAACCAACAGATTAATTAATATACTACTCACCTTAGCTGACAAAAGCCATCAGAAGCTAATTGTATTAAGTTTTATACTGCCCTCCCAGCGATGTATACTGAAAGCTATCTCTTCCTCCTAAATCAAAAGAGAAAATATAAAACTGTGGCTAACCAAAGTTGTAATTGTCACTTTCAGTTTTCTACAAAAAGGTAGCCCCTTTATACAGGTCTGTTTTGCTGTCCCAATGTAGCTGGAAGTGCTTTCCTCACTGCCTTTTCATCACTGGGACAAAAGACCCATCATCCACAATTTGTGGGAGGGGAGATTTATGTTGGCTTATGGTCAACTGGCTGTGAGGTCGAACAGCATGGTAGAGAGGAATGGTGAAGAAAAAGTCATTCCACCCAGAGCACCGAGAGGCCAAGTGAGAAGGGAGGAGCCAGATGAAGAACACAGTTTCCCGGATCACGCTCCCACCGACTCACGTCCAACCGGGGTCTTCTTGCGAACTGCACATCCACTACTGATCTCATCAGTGCAGGAAACAACTGATGAGTATAGCGCACCCAGGATCCTATCATCTTCCAGGCAAATAAAGCTTCGGGGCACACTGCAGACCCAAATGTAATATTCTGCCCCTTGACTCCCAAATATTCATGTATTATAAAAAATGCTTTTAGTCCATCTTTAAGATTGCTAAATCCTTAAAAGTTTCAGCACTACTGAAAAGACTAAGTCTAAATTTTCCTTTGAGACTCAAAACAAACTCTTTGCTGTCACCCCCCCCAATCAAACCTTATAAATTCTGACATATAATGGCACAGTGTAAATATTACCATACAAAAAGGTAGAAATAATATGATAAAAAAGTATCAAGGGAAACTGAGATGGAAAGCTCCCTGGACAATATTATATTCTGTAGTTCCATGTCCAGCTCTTGGGGCAAATTGTGGTCAGAAGTGAACACAAAAGACTGAGGTGACTTTGCCCCTACTACAATATAAGTTGTACCCCCATGTCTTCTCTCAGGGTGACTCTGCCCACTGCCTGCAGGTTTCCTCAGCAGACATTTCACATTTCTAGCATCTCCAACTTTTAGGGTTCTCCACTCACTTTTGAGACCTCTCTCACAGATTTATGCACCGTTGTTTCTGGGACACACTCCCTGCCCTCTCAGAGAATTAGATTCTCATGCTGTATATTTTTAAATTTTGCCTGGACAATTAGAAATAGTTTCTCCCCATTTTTATGCAGCAGTTATATTCTCTTTTCCAAAGTAAGTCATTATTTCTATCATCTCTTTCTTGAAATCCAGAAAATTAGATCAACTATGATCTCCTTCTTGAAATCCAGATACTGAGAGAATATAAATGTTTTCAATACCAGGACGTCAGCTCTGTAGTGGTTGCAGTTTCAATGCATGTCTTCTCATTGCTGTTCTCCTTATTGCATCAAGATGGGAGTATAAACGTGCTGTGACAACCGAGTTGAGAGCCTTTGTCAGGTTAATGCTAATAGATATCTACTTTAAATCATATTGACTGAGGCGAAATCTCTTCTCTGAAATGCTCAACTGGGAAATACAATATAAAGTACATAGAAACTTTTTTATTAAAATACTTACAAATGTAGGTTAAAACTGTAGTCCAGGGACATAAGCAAATCTGAATTTCTGAATCCGTAAGTAACTTGTAGAAGCCATTGAATGGAAAATATCAGAGAAAATTAATTTTATTCCAATTTTACATCTAGGTATCTAAAATGCTAGCTTTGGGAAATAGAAAAATGTTCTGCTGATAAGAATGACACTACTAAAGAGTAGACCATCCAAGGTAAACTTTGTGTAAAAGAATATCGCGGAGTATCAGAGAGTGCATAATGAATGTGACATCTTCATTTATGTGAGAACAAATAGAAGTTATGCTTCCTTTCATTTAAGCATGTTTTAATGCTGCAAGTACACGTTCAAGTACCCCACCTTAGGCTGTATGCAGCTTTAAACTGTGTTGCCTGTTACATGAGGTTCTCCTCTCCAAATTCAGAGAGATGAGGTCCCAGGTCTGGACAATATGCAATATCCACTTAGCACCCATGGCTTGGGCTCAGAGCTCTGTGTTCAGTGGCAGAGATTCCAGTATCATACAGTTCCCAATCTGAGTCTCCAGCAATTTGAATTCCAAGACCACATACAGATTTGGACCTTGCAAACATTGATACACATTGTACATCCCTTGTTTTAAAAGCATATTCAAACTTTTTATTTCAAAGAAATATGACAAATACCATAATGTTCTATAAAATTTGGGGTATGTAATATAAAACACTGTAATATCAGTTGTATTATTATTGGGAAATTTTAATTTCTGTGTATTCCACTGAAGTTATCTTGAAACGTCCTAGAATTGTGGAAGCTCACCTTACAAATTACTATTTGATGCTTGTTTAATTCATGTATGCATATTTCATAAGATTCTAGTTTACTTCATACATGTCAAAAACTGTAGGAGAGGTAAATTTCTAACAAATTTACAATGTGTAGGAATTTATAATCATAAAAATAATTTGAATATTTTTGTCCAAGAAGATTTTTTAAATTCAAAAAAATTAGCTATCCTCTACTATTTCATTTCATAAACCACTGTTCAAAAAGGTATTCTGAAAACAGCTCTCCAATTTCCACAAGTTTCTTAAGACTTTTTCAAACTTGAAAATATTATAAGTGTTTACTTTGACAGCAAAATGTTTCAAAAATGTTTCCATTTATGATATGACAATTATATGTTTTGGGTATGCTTTTTAGCTCCAGAAACATACAACATTGTGCTTGATTTTTATTTTACCCATCTAAGTAAATAGCAAAATTAACACAATTTATAACAATATGTACAATTTATTATATGTCTGAGTATCAAATGACATTATTTTTGTTATTTGAGACAGAATGGATTTTAAAAGGCAACATACAAATTTTGGCCCAGGCAAAGCAAATATGAAAACCTTTAGACCAGCTGTTAGCTAGCATTTAATAAGCAAATTAAGCAGGTTTGTAATATAATGAAACAGATGGAGAAAATGTGATCAACCAAGTAATAAATTTTGTTATTTACCCTTTTTACTTAAGTCTGTTCATGTTCTTCTCACAAAATAATTAATTTCCCATCACAGTTTTATATTACCATGAAATCACATTCTTTTGGGATCTTCTGATTATATGTGGTATAATTTAACGGCAAGCAAATGCTATTATAAGAAGATGGCAAGCTTATATTTCATGTAAATAGTCCAATGTTATATAAAGTTATTTATCACAGTTACATGTAAAATATATGAGCAAGAAACCACTTATCTAGAAAAAATACCACATTGTTTGTAGTGGCATATGCTTTGGCCTCTTATACACGTAGTTCTGATTTAAAAAAAAGTCAAACTCCTAGAATTAAGTACTAACAACTCTATTTTTATAAGCCAAATGAAATGGTTCCCTTTAAGAAGATGGTGAGGACAGAGAGTTGGGGTAGAGAGAGAGTTAAGACTGCATTTTCACAAACTTTAGAGGAGAGGAACAAATTTGGAATAAGAAATTATTTAAGAGAGTGTGATAACTCGTTATAGGACAAAGTAAGGAGTTGTCTTATGTGTCTGTTTTTGTGACTATTATTTTAGTTGTACAATTATATGAGTACAGTATGATAATTACATAGAGTTCTACAACATGTCATTATCAAATCAAACTCGAAGTGGAACCTTACATTTAATTAAGAAACAGATCAACATATAGCACAAAACATGTGGACAGTAAAAGGAAGCATTATGGATTTGAGCTTTCATAAGAAAAATGGCACAGATAACTGACATGAAAAACAAAACAGGAAAATAAAGCTTGAGGAAAGGCAATGTGTTATTTGGAATATGCTCATTCTCTTTTTTATATTGTAAATGTAGAAGTCACTATTCAGGAATAATTCTAAACATATGATTGATTGAATGGAATAGTGGACAGTTCTGGAAAACAGTTTTACAATTCATCTGAGAATAATTGTTACTTGCAGTCAACAGAGCAGATAAGTTTGCAAACAGGAGCATGTAACAAGTTATGAGAGGACTACAAACAGAATTTTATTTAAGGGGATGTAGAAAAACGCATCTTGAACTTCACTCAAGAAGCTGAAATAGGAGGATTGTGGTGCATGCTAGGCCAGCCTGGGCTCCTAGTGAGACAGTGTCTCAATAAATAAATAAATAAATAAATAAATAAATAAATAAATAAATAAATAAATTCTGACTTAGCATGAGTTCATTTAGAACAAGCGAGAAGCCCTTAAGGTTCACAGAACTTTCTATTGTAAAAGATTGCTGTAATGTTCCCGGCAAAAATTTTCAGTTGGCTTTCATTGTGTATGAAGAATCTTCTCTTCAGTCCCTTCCATAGTTGATGGAGAGCTAACTTTCCTGGTACTCATTTGAAAGACATGATCTATGTCAAAACTTGCTCCATGCCAGTGTCTCTTACAGTTTTTCTTCTGATCATGTTTCTAGTGTTGTAGATACTTTGGGACTATTAGTAAATAGATAGGAAATTTTTCTTTGTGATTTTCAAGATTATCGTGGTTGTGGGTATGTTCTCCCATAATGGAGGAAGAGTATTTTGCAAAATCAATCATGGGCCACACCAATTGGATAAGTGTCAGGTGATCTTTTGGTTGCATACATAGATGTACTCTTTCTACTCTTTCTACAATAATAATAGGAGAGAAGCATTTTAAGATCTAGCATACAAACTCTTATTCTTATCTTGGATAATGAATTCCCAATGAGTAAATGAAACTAACCTCTGTAGGCTACATAAAACATAGAAAATTTAAAATGCATAATATTTCTGCAAATTTTACATTTATAATTCGTCTTCACCCTATTACCATAACATACTTTTACCAATATAACAATATCTTCAAATAGACTTCATATTCTTGGAGTAACAAAAATATTTCACATAAAAATGGATTTGAGTATGAACAACTTCATATACCTCATGAAAATCACAGAATGAATGGAAGGCATCATCATGATATGATGCTGATTTTTAAAATATTTTTGCATTTTTTTTTTGTTTGTTTGTTTTGGTTTTTCTCCGGTACCGGGAACCGAACTCATGACCTTGTGCTTGCCAGGCAGGCGCTTTTGCTGCTGAGCTAAATCCCCAGCCCCCTATTTTTGCATTTTTTAACAGTGTTTCTGTGTTTACTTCTTCAGATAAAATATTACATAATGCTGAATGTAATGTAAATAAATGTACATAATAGGTTTACACTATAAATATATATCATATTTCAATTAAATATATAATTATATACACTAGTTTATTAAGAAGCTATACAGACACATACATGTACACATATGCAAAGTCATTTAGTTTTGTATAACGATGTCGTGTACAAGAAATCATTGTCTAGAAGACAGGAGACTCACGAACCATGCAATGAAAGGGTGAGGAAAGCAAGAATTGTGAATGTTTTACTGGAAAACAAAAATAGAGAATGAAGCATATGATTCCTTGGAAGGATCAATGTAAGACAAGTAAGTGTATTTTAATTGAGTATCCCATGCTTTTGAAGTAGGAAACATCTAAAAAGTCAAGAGCATAACTTGGACAGAAATAAAAAGAGATAAGTGAAATAATGTCAGGGAAGCAGGAAAAGACAGAACCGTCACAGAAATGGAGATAAAATGGGACTTAAATAATTTTTGAAATTTATTATGTGCTTCTTAATCTGCAAAAATATTTTAAAACTTTATTGGTTCTTCAAAATATATTATGGAAAATAATATTGATAGTTAAAGCCTCAGTCAAGAAGTTGTATATAAATATATGTGATAATAAAATAGTGGGTATTAAAATAGTGATAATGCTATAAACCTTCTCATATAAGAGTTAGCTTTGAACAATTGAGTGAATATATCATGCTAATTAATTAAAGTATTCATAAGGAGCATCTGAAAGTACATTCTTTGTTAACTCTTTCATCACATTATAGAAATGGATATTAATTAAAGTGAAACATTTAGTGCCTGGCATGGTGACTCATGCCTGTAATCCCAGCACTCAGAAGGCTGAGGCAAGAGGATCATTGTGAGTTCAAGGCCTACCTGGGCTACAAAGTGAGTTCAAGTCCAGCCTGAACTGGCATAGCAAGACCCTGTCTCAAAAAAGACAAAAAAAAAAAAGAAAAGAAAAGAAAGTGAATATTTAGTAATATTCTGAAAAATATGTTTATAAAATATTCTGTTTTGTTTATTCTCTAATTGTACTGAATATTGTTGATAGGAAATTAGGAATGTTGCTAATGAATTGATAATTGAGCAACTATACAAAATGTCAATCATATTACAAATTCCTCATAGCCATGAGAGCATATTTGATTGAACAAAGAAATATCATTTTGTTCTTTCTGGTTTTAGAGACTGATTGGATAATTGGATTTGCAACAGCTAATAGAGCACTTCCACTTACTCTAAATTATATTAAAGTGTTCTTTACCAAAGTTAAGGGGTTTAAAACTACTCATATCCATAATT